GGGCATGAAAGTTAACGAGGATGAGGACTAGTATTGTTGTGGATTCATAATGGATCATCTGAAGTGGGAAAAATGCTTATGCAGAAATGTTGGTGCTATACACACATGCCTCTTGCTCTCTCCATTCTTTGTAACATGCACACGTAACCATCAGATGCACTAGATGATATTTTGAAGTAGTCTTATTAATATGATTATACTATACTTGGCCTGTCAGTGACAACATGCATATTTCCTGGTGGGTATTTTCAATGTATAATGTCACATGATGTCATATGCCAATACCTCCATCTTGTAAATTTTTCACTGCGAAGAGCTATCCACCTCCGTCAAATATTGCACTTGTATTATAAGATGCACAATTCATTAGTATTTTAACGCATACCTAGGCACCATTTCTTCCGTGCTTATATCCCAGCACCTTGTCCTCATGTCCCTTCCAAGTGCTATATAGTTACACTGGCTTAGTGCTTTCCTGCTCTACTAATATAATCTATATGAATCTTTATTAGAGGAAGTGGTGCTGTTCAGCTGTAAAATCTACCCAGTAATGTTCACTAATATGCAGACGAGGAGTCACAATAACGTGGCTGAAATATGTTGACCAAACCACACACTAGAAAGTGAAGAAACGACGACGTTTCGGTCTGTCCTGGACCATTCTCAAGTCGATTGAGAAGTTGCTCCACAATTGACTTGAGAATGGTCCAGGACGAACTGAAACATCGTCGTCCCTTCACTTTCTAGTGTGTGGTTTAGTCAACATGTTCACTAATAGTTAACCTCACCGTGGCCATACCCAAATTATAATACGATATTGTAAAGTATTGATCGATTCATTTTCCTCAAATTGACAATCTATGTTTGCTTTTATCTTACTGTATTATATTTACCTGAATATACCTGATGATCACTTTCTCTCTCTAGTGGCTTGATGGGGAAAGAAAGCTGATGGTTTGTCAAAGGTCCTCTAAACATTCCTGAAATATTCCTGCATATTTACTATAATCCTAGTGTTTATCATATATACCTTATAGGGTATATAGGGCAAACTAATTATACATTGCACACAGAAATCACAATAGCATGATATATCAGATGAACAAATCCACAAGGGCCGTTATGAGGGTTCGAACCTACTATCCTCGTGAGGGCAGTAGCACTCCAGGTTGCAATTCTTTTTACCATGTTGTGGCACAGTTGACTAAGGTGCATCTGGGAACATCCCGTGCGTAGGTTCGAACCCCTCATCACGGCCCTTGTGGATTTTTTCATTAGTTATACATTAGTCAAATAATTCCAGGGAATTTTAGGGCAGGAGTAAAAGTGAGTGTGAAAAGGATGGGCAGATATAGTGAGTGATAAAAAAGAGCCCAGGTGAATAGAAGATAGTGAATATAGTGTTGTGGGAAATTATTTGTAATAAATCCGACCTTCAGTAGATTTTATAAAAAAAATTGTTGTTGGTTCTCACCCAGTACTTGGGGGCTGAATTATATGACGTATTTAATCCGAATTTTGAATTAGACTATTCAGTGATTATTTTATTTGAATCTGACTTTAAACTCAAGTATTTAGTAAGGCTCAAGTGGTTGAAGTTTATTCTTAAACAAATTAACTCATTTATGAACATCACTGAATGGACTAAACCTTACTAGTAAATTTTGTGAATGATTAGTTATTATTTAATTTATATATAATAGTTAAACAAGATAAATTTAGATTGATTAATATAAGACAATAAGGTTTTTAGCTAGCATAGTGAGTGACATTCAGAAGTGTCCTGTCTCGTCTATCCAATGTGGCCGCTTGTTGCTGGCGTCAGTTTTTTGGGATATTGAATTTGAACCATGGAAGTGCACCTGTCAGTCCACTGTTCACTGTCTGCCACTGTTAAAACAACAATATTATCATTCAATTAGTAATAAAGATATAGCCTCATTAACTATTCATATATATTTAAGTTTAGAAAGAGTTTAGAGGCCTATTCAATCGTTTGTTATCATACGTCGTAACCATCTCATACCACTTCCCCTTTAACTCCTATGACTATACTGTACACCCTGGCCAAATCTTTATACCCAAACCGTGTCGGAAGCGTCATTTAGCTCTCGGCTTAAGCGTGGGATGGAATTTGACCAATTTGAGGTCCTCGAGGTGTCGAACGGCCGTGGGTAACAAGCGTGTCTCGTTATAATCTTGGCATAAAGGCATCCTTTTAGAGAGTTCGTGGCTCCCTCATTCCTTGCTTGAAAGCAAAGAAGAGTTTGTGTTATTTATTTATTCGGGGCATTAAGCTCTATTTATTTATGCATTTGAATAGCAACATTATAAATTAGTTCTCTAAGAACTGGTTAATTTCCTTTTAATTATATACTTTGTAAGAAATGATTGGAGAAAGTTATTAATTACATGTTATGGTGAATATTTTTCACATCTGTAATAAAGGAAGTGTATCCGAAGCATGTTTCACTGTTACATGTGCACACGTGCTTGGGGTGTGATGGGAAGGCATGTGGCAGTAGTTTGTGAAGAGTGTATGTGTGTGTGTGTGTGTTGTTTCTATATGACAACTCGTGAGGGGCACTGTACACCTGGTTGTATGATGCAGTGGGGTGCTACTGTGGATGGTTTCCCATATTGTGTTGTAGTGTGGACGTGTGTAGTGTAGAATGTAGACGAGTGAAAAATTTAAAATATCTTAACTTTAGAAGATATTGCCTCACACGCGTGGGATCCGTGGTTCAAAGCCCGTACAGTTCGGGTGAATGGAATCTTAACTTTAGTTTTACTGCACTGCTTCCCTGGGCTCATTCCTTTCCACTCCACAAAGTGGTGAAAATGGATAATGAAGATGTTATGGGTTAAGCATGGCAACATAGTGTTATGCTTATCGAGCCTGGCCTCAGGCCGGTCTTGGAGAGTAGAACAACCCCTAGAACCCTCTCCAGGTATCGTGTGCCTGGGAGTTCGGGGATGTGGGCTTGATCCTATCAAATGATCTTATCATGTTCTCATGAATACATTACATTTTTGTGATGTCATTTTGCAGTGCGTAGCAAATTACACATTTTGCCCACTTAAGCCTGTACATGGCTGTGCTTGTCATACATTGCACAAGCCCCCATCGAAATGCTGAGCAAATTATTTCGGTATGCAAAATATATAACCCAACCCCCACACATGAGAATAAAGAAAAGCGACAATGTTTTGTCCTGTCTTGGATCCTGATCAAGTTGTGGCTTGATAAGGGTCCGAGATGGGCCAATGTTTTGTCACTTTCACTTCACATGGGTTAGGCTGGTTTTTTCACTGACATTATTGTGACTTATTCTCTGCACGCACAGTTGTGTGGGAGAGAATACACATCTAAATTTTGAGCATAAACTATATATATAAAACCTGCCTTGACCAGTGTTCCATTATTATATAAAATTTATGTACAGCTCAACTGCAGTATCTGGGATTATAGAGTATTAAAAATATATTATGAAGTAGCAGGACAACATATACGAATGTTTGGCATTTAGGCTGGCTGGCTGTTTAAATTTTGGTTGTGTAGTCATCTGTGTAAATTTTTTATCAGCACCTGATAGTAGGCTCTATTGAACAGTTGGTTGTTCGTTAGGTGCCAAAAAATAACAAATATTTGTTTGGAAGATATAAAATGAAGGTTATTTTAAAATCTGCATCAAAATATTAACTGTTGAAACTTTCTTTTCATTACATGCTATATACTGAGTAATAATAAAACCACATAGTATACAAAAAAATTTATATAAAAAGCTAGATGAAGCAGTTTACATGTAATATGTAAATTATAGGGCTTCTGGTATTCACATAAGAGTTATAGAATTTCTTTAAGCAGTGAAGGTTTCCAAGATGTTAGCTCAATTTGCTTGAATTTCTAGCAGGAAGAGTAAATGGGAAAAATTCTATGATGAAGTTTCAGATACCATTGAAACGGTATTAGGCGAGATGAGCATAAACATTATTTTTATTTTCTCACTATTTTCCCACACATGTATCACGTTCGTGTGATCTCATTAAAACATTATGCATTTACTCATTACGACAACATTTACATGTAACAACATTTACTTGTTGCAGCAACATTTACCCGTTGCAGCAACATTTACCCATTGCAGCAACATTTACCCATTGCAGCAGCATTTACCCAGTACAGCAACATTTACCCGCTATGCATGGTAGTAAAAGGGGTCTCGGATTCCATCCTGTCTGCACATACACAATGTATAGCAATTTTGACTCTCGTAACCACTGCAATAGTGGTTTTGCAAAATTTCAAGTTGGGTTTTATTGACGCTTCCTCTGATTAGCGAGCATTGGTCTCATTAGGTTAGGTGGCTTCCTTTGCTTTGAATGTTTCTGGTTAAGTAAAATTACTTCACATTTACCCGAGTTTATCCAAGAGCCACTAACACTAGTGGCCTCAACGAGGACAGGCAGCCGGCGGGTTCTTGAAGGCTTCCCCATTTGCCTTGATGGTATGATCTTTTCCACCGAGATTCATGATTTGACACATCATGAGAAAATGCTGCACACTCTCATTGCAAATTACTGAGAATAGACATAGCCAAAGTTCGTAATGAAGATGCTCTATACACTGTAAATGACAAGTAATCTTCACTCAATGCTGTAATTATAAATATGTACATAATTTTACAGTATAGTATGTAATTTATAAATGTAGTAATGTTTATTATTACAAACTTACTACTGTACAGTACTGTGCTTGATTTTCATGGTAATGTGTAGTAGATTTTGCCAAACCTTGTATATATATATATATCTATGCTTTGACTATAGACCTGTACTATCTTTAACTCTTAATAGTTTGCTACTTGGATGTAGAATTGTTGTTTATAACATTGATTTTCTACATTTTCGTACCGAGAACGTTTATTGGCTATGAAAAAGAAGATATAAAATGTTGTCAGAATTTTCTTGATATCACTATTATGTTTATATTTTTACAGGTACAAAATCTCACATAAGAAAAACATCTAAGAAGATAATGCCGTCTGATGAAACTATAGCCAAGCTTCAAAATACAAAGGTAAAGTCTTATTTGTTTATTTGGAATGTAGTTATGGTTCTTGTATATTCTTCCGCAGAATGTTTCTTCCCTTTCTGCCCGTCTTTGAGGAGCTATCACTAGCACATTATTCCCCTAGATTGTGCCCGCTCTATCCCTAAGTAACGGACGCCTGAATATTCCCCAAATGGAGCTCTCTGGCTCTGTACGTATGCTCTATCTTTGAGAGGCAGAAATTCAAAATTTGGTGGATACTACCAGGTACTTGCCTATTAGTGACTGTGGGGAAGTTAGGTCTGGCTCTTTATGCCTTGCCCCCGTACCCTTGTTGTACCAGTTTGATATTAATTTAACTATTCTGGTGTTCAAATCCTTTGTTGAGTCTGGCTTTAAAGTTATGGATGGAGGTGGCTCTCACAAATTTTTTTTCAGTGCATTCCACTCACTGACCACCCGTACTGGGTGGTAAACTGCGTTTCTTTGCATTTCTAGCTTCCAGTTAAGCCCTCTGGGTGTAGTATGTAGAACTGTTTTATGTTGTAAATATTGAGTGTAGCCCTCCACCTGGAGCTCCATATTAATATCATCTTGATGCAACAGCTTAAAGAACGTGTGTGCTCTCTTGGATAATAATCATTGGTGGATAATGCCTAGCATATCTGCTGTAGTATTTGGATGAATCGGTTGTTTATGTTGAAGCGAATCACTTATTAACCAAAAAGTTAAAATCATTATGAGCAGACTATGGTGCATGTGTCTAAAAGTCCTTTTCCAAATCTAAATGATTACCAGTTTGTGATTTCGGGAATTCGTCTACGACCATAGCCTAGTCTTTGGCCACCCGTTCCTGGGACTTGCCTGGTTTGTGAGGCATTTCGTCCAACCTGTCCTCTTACAAATTATGTCGCTTTTGCTCGTATGCGCTATGGCCAAATATCGACGTAATCCAAAATGAAAATTAATTTTCCAATTAAATTTTGGAATTTTGTTTTCCAAAACACCAATTTAAGGGTCGTCTGGTAGGATAGGAGGGCAGGAAGTTCTCCTAAGGTTTCAAAATGTCATGTAAACCATTAATTGAAAGTTTCCTCTCCTAACCTAACAGACTTAGCCAGAGGAACCAAAACAGAAAACGTGACAGTACGTCACTTTCGTGAGCAAATTTCAATTTGAATTACGTCAATTTTTAGCCTGAAGTGCGCATACGAGTGAAATGCGACGTACAGTAATTTATAAGAGGACGGATTGGTTCATTTTTTTATAGCCCAAAAGTCCACATAACCATAACAGCCTGGTGGATCCAGTAACTCCAGCAAAAACTTGTCCAGTTCTCTCTTGAAAGCTTCCACTATTGGCTTAAATTTTAAACTTAATGTGCTGTCTTTACAGGTATAGAGATTGGAACAAGAATGTTACAGCTCTGCTCTGGATGATTTTTGCCATATTCTCGAAAAGGCTCTTTTAGAGGCTACAATACATTTTAATTTGTTTGTTTGAATAATTTGAATAAGTATTTGTCTTTGCAGGTTTGGAGGTTGGAAAATGAGTTTTACAACTTTGCTCTGGATCATTTCCACTATATTCGTAAGAAGACCCTCGTAGAAGCTGAAAATGGTGGCGGTCTTGTGGACAGAGGACAAAACTTTGTCTATGGTAAAATTAAGCCCAGGAAAAGCTAAGGAGTGTTCAAAACATGACCCAGTGAAATTAATGGTGCTATATAGGATAAGTAAACTCGTTGGGAATTGTGATTATTTAAGGTGCTTGGCTTTCTCAGTTTTGTACACCACAGAGTCAGTCTTCACTTCCCCCACAAGTGCCTCGTCGACATTTTAATTGCTGTTTATGATGTCACTCTTAGGGTAATGACATAGATAAGGCACATTAGAGAAATCTTGGTAATTATGTAGACAGTGCATATATAATTTAATACATTTACTAGATATATTACAGTTTTTTGTAGTTCCATCATGTTCCATAAAGTGCATTGGAATACTGTAATGGAATTGGAAAAAGAAATGATGGTTCTGTGAATCATTAATCTACCGCACTTAATTCTATGATCTTTCTGGGTGTTGTGGTGCATTGGCAGTCTGACTCAAGTTGGGTGTTTGTACCCACACTGCTACTTTACACACAATGTGTTTACACACATTTACAATACTTATTTTCTTCAGTGTCAAGATTTTCTGCAGAATCTTTTTAAATATTAGCCGAAGCTTATTTGTTATCCAAATGACCTAATTGGATTTGTTAATGGAAGGGGAGACTGGGAATGGTTTGGACAGGTTTTGGGAAAATATCTGTAAATTCTGGCGTTCATAAAAGCCAACACATTGAAACAAAAACACGTTTAATTCCAATAGTATGAAATAAATTTATATAGAGGTGAATTGAGAAACGATATATATTTATATGACCTCGAAGCCACAGTATGAATACAGTACATCATTATTTTGAAAAGAAAGCAGTATTCATCAGTCATATAATCAAAATTACTGAATTATTAATTAATAATTAATTAATATAGTTTTAATTAAAATTACAATTAATTAAAATTAATTAATATAGTTCGACCAGTTGATTTACATTTCTGTTAAGTTTCATTTTAATTGATGAGTTGCCTGAAAATAGTTGTTGATTTATGGAACCAGTTGCTGGGGTAACCTGATAGACGTAGGATCATCGAATTGTCTCAAGTGTAGGCAAGACACAAGCGAGTTGGGTGGATATAAATAGAAGCTGCCTCGCATGGGCCAATAGGTCTTCTGCAGCTTCATTTATTCTTCTGCCTAGTTCGTCATGTGATGTGACTCTATCATGGAGTCATGTGAGTCGGAGTAGGTTGAGCTTTACTAAAACCTAAAAAACATACATACATACATATATATATATATATATATATATATATATATATATATATATATATATATATATATATATATATATATATATATATATATATATATATATATATATATATATATATTTTTATATATATATATATATATATTTATATATATGTCGTACCTAGTAGCCAGAATGCACTTTTTGGCCTACTATGCAAGGCCCGATTTGCCTAATAAGCCAAGTTTTCCTGAATTAATATATTTTCTTTAATTTTTTTCTTATGAAATGATAAAGCTACCGATTTCATTATGTATGAGGTCAATTTTTTTTATTGGAGTTAAAATTAACGTAGATATATGACCAAACCTAACCAACCCTACCTAACCTAACCTAACGTATCTTTATAGGTTAGGTTAGGTAGCCGAAAAAGTTAGGTTAGGTTAGGTAGGTTAGGTAGTCGAAAAACAATTAATTCATGAAAACTTGGCTTATTAGGCAAATCGGGCCTTGCATATTAGGCTGAGAAGTGCGTTCTGGCTACTAGGTACGACATATATATATATATATATATATATATATATATATATATATATATATATATATATATATATATATATATATATATATATATATATATATATATATATATATAATTAATGTTGTACCTAGTAGCCAGAACGTCGTACTCTGCCTACTATGCAAGGTCTGATTTGCCTAATAAGCGAAGTTTTCCTGAATTTATATATTTTTCAAACCTTTTTTCTTATGAAATGATAAATCTGGCTATTTTATTATGTATAAGTTAATTTGTTTAAATTTGAGTTAAAACTAACGTAGATATATGACCGAACCAAACCAACCCTACCTAACCTAACCTAACCTATCTAAACCTATCCTAAACTAACACAACTACGTCAATAATTTATGTTCCTAATATAATTTAATAATAATTATTCAAATAAACCAATTCGAAACAATTTATGGAAAATAAAGAAAATCACTCTGCCTATTAGGCAAATCGGGCCTTGCATAGTAGGCCGAGAAGTGCATTCTGGCTACTAGGTACGACATATATATATATAAATACAGTAAATAAATAAATAAATACGTGACACACTTGCATAAACGCGTAAGTTATATGCAACTGAAGAATTCAACCTTGTGAAGGATTCGAACCTGAGATAGCCTAGTACTCCAAATACTCTAGCAGATCCAGTATGTTATTCACTTGACCATTGCAGACTTTACAAAAGTCTGTTCCAAAAGTTTGAATCCCGTTCCAAAAGCAAAGGGCGGGCTGTGATGTCATCACAACATGCTGTCCGAACCAACCCTGTTCTTCCCCAAGAGTTCAGCTGGGCAAACTCGTGTAGTCTATTTAAATGCTGTGTTTCCCTTTAAGTGAATTCTTTGAATACTGTATATTGTATGGGCAAACTGGCAAGCAAAAACAAAACTATTATATATGCCTTAGAAATTAAATACTTGACTGTAAACCACTCGTATAGATATTCATGTATTGACATATCTGTATGTTTATGTAGATGTATGTGCATCATTTTATATGTTTTAAGATTTAATGTATATACATATTATTGTACTGCCGTGTGAAGGTAGTCGGTGGTCTTTTCTGTTCTCTTTCTGGGAAGAGCCCCTTCGGCTCCCCGGAGCTTACTAGGCTGATATGCTAATGTCAGACTTTGGCATCAGTCATGTGTATGGAGTTCTATGGGCCTACCGGGGACCACGAGCCAGAACCTGGCCCCCTCAGAAGAGGCAAGGGGAGCAATGGCCTATAGAAGGCCTTCCCCCTTCCCATGTGGTTGGAAGCATTCTATGTCTGCCATCGACCAAGTTAGGCACCCAGAAAGGTAAGCGTCCCAAAACAAACCCGTATTCTGGTGAAAATTGCTACCACAAGCCGAACAAGTGGATAGAACTCCCTCTAAAATAAACGAGCAAACAATCATGACGTCACACGTCATCGTGATGCTGTCCGCGCAGCTCCCCCCTCCCTGGGAGGGGGAAGGGGGAGCCCCAGACCCATCGCACCGACTATCCACCCCCAGTTCTAAGGCTAAGGCTGATGCTAAAGGCTGACATGTGCTCCATGTACCTAGAGTGTGGTGTCTGTCTTCTAGGTGGTGCATGGGGTCTGGGGCTCCCCCTTCCCTCTCCCGGGGAGGGGGGAGCTGCGTGGACAGCGGTGCGGATACGTGTGACGTCATGATTGTTTGCTCGTTTATTTTAGGAGGAGTTCTATCTACTTGTTCAGCTTGTGGTAGCAATTTTCACCAGAATAGGAGTTTGTTTTGGGACGCTTACCTTTCTGGGTGCCTAACCCGGTCGATGGCAGACATAGTATGCTTCCAACCACACGGGGGTTTCTATAGGCCATTGCTCCCCTTGCCTCTTCTGAGGGAACCAGGTTCTGGCTCGTGGTCCCCGGTAGGCCCATAGAACTCCATACACATGACTGATGCCAAAGTTTGACATTAGCATATCAGCCTAGTAAGCTCCGGGGAGCCTCCGGGACTCGCCCAGAAAATGACGTTTCATTACATTCAATGCTATTTTTTTTTTTTTCGTTATTTAATAGCCCAGTAGTTGTGAAACAGCTGTGGGGAAAGAAACGTCCGAGTTCCAGAGAGAGGCCTGGTTAAATCCAGATGACTAGGCCAAGTTATTTAGTGCAGCGCTTCTTTTTCCTAAATTTTTATACCAGTATTCTTGTGCTTTTTTTTATCATTCAGTGGAACTCCGAGTTTACATCTACAGGTGCCAGAAATGTTATTACTGTAATTGGAACAGGTTCCTAAGTTATTTCATAGGTGAAGTTGGTCATATAGCATTTGGGGGGTAGTAAAATTTAATGGGTCTTTTTTGAAAAGGATCATAGGATTAGTTTTCTTATTGAGAGTGAGGAGTTCTAAATAGTGACCCATTATCTCTATATATTATTATAAATGTCAGAGAACTTAAACTTAATTAAACTATTTACAGTGTAGAAAAGTCAATGGGACCATTTTGGATGAAATCGTGCAGTTTTTGAAGTGGTGAGATTCGATACATTTAAGTTCGGTGGGTGAATTTGGCTTGGTTGAGGTACCAAAAATGCAACCCATCCTCAGGCTATGTTCAATCCATCCATCAGCCAACCCCAAAGATGCATTCATCAATTTATTGAGCTGTTCCTTCAAAATAGGAATTTTCTCAAATATAAATTAATATTATATATTATTGTATGTATTTAGGCATAGGTTAAGGTAGGTTAAGTGTTTAGGCTGTGTTGGCAGTTACAGTACTTGTATTTGTAGCATGTGGGTGAAGCATTTACGGAGTTGCGATTCGAACATAGGTTGCCAACGAAACGTTGTTCAAGAAATGTTCGAATATCATCACTTGTGAGTGAAGCTTAAAGCATTTTCGTTTGTAAACAGATGGTTTGGTGGCTGCAAGGAGTGAAAATTGGCCATTTTTTATGAGGACGGGCTACAAAAATGTTATTCTGAAGTACTTTATGAAGTTTTTCTTAATTATTTATTGAAACCTGTTTCCATTGGGAAGGGGGGGGGTATTATTAACCACTCGTGACATGCATGTACTTAATACTTAACAGTCCAAAGTATACATCAGATTTATGTAATTTTTATTGGGAACTTTGCAAAACTCTCAAAGTATTTTTTTAAGTTTTTAACTTGGTTCTACATTTTTCATAATTTGTTACCAGATTTTGCCGGCATTCTGCTCATATTACCACGTTATCGTATTATACACGTTGCTACGATTACTCTTCCTGTTGCGGCCACTTGAGTCATCCTCCCTCCTGTTTAAGAATGCAATTATATATTTGTATTTTCATTTCCAGAGGTTTTGATTCTATATTGAGGTTAAGAAAGTGAACAGTTCTAGGCAGTTAAAGTTATTACCGCATTATTTACATTTTAATGTGCTGTGATTGGAATAAAGCTACATAAAGAAAACTGATTAATTCTTCAGATGCTGTAGATAATTTATTGCAGCATCAAAGTATGTAAAACAGATTAGAAGGGACATAAGTTCACTTGAGTGCGTGCCGTGAAGGATGAAGAAGGTAATCCTGGGAATGAGAAACCTTCTGTAGGAAGAAAGATTAAAAATATAGTAATATTTACAATAAGATTAAAAATAAAAATAAAAAGATGAAGAATAGGGAGTGGCATTGTTAATGTACAGTACAGTGTATTGTATATGAATGAGTTATAACAAGAGAGATAAATTAGGTTTTAAATGTATAAACACAAATTAGAACTTTTAACAGTTGTTATTTATTGGAGAAGTGGTAAATACTGGCTTAGAAATAGGCTTGTTGATTTAGGGAACAAATTATCGGGTAACCAAATAGATGTAGCATTGGTGGAATGTTTGGAGTGTGAAGGGGTTAGGTATATGAATGGGTTTGGATGGGTATAAAATAGGAGCTGCCTGTTTATGGGCAAATAGCCCTTATGCAGTTCCCTTTGTTAAAAAAAAAAATAGTAATTGAGATCAGAAGAAAAATTAAAAGTAATTACCAGTAATGTTTTGAGAAAGCAGGGCACCTTTTGAAATTAAGTCAGGAAATTTAGCACGCAGACTCGTGGATGAGTAAATGGGATGTTCAAGATAGCTTTGGGAGAAATAAATAACCTGACCCTCACACACATGGATTGAAATGAAAGTGTCAACATTTTGAGGTGTCTTGGACCCTTATCATGCCGTGTCACATCTAAACGAAGGTCCAGAACGAACTGAACATTGTCAGTATCATTTCATCCCATGTGTGGGTTGGGTTATTTGTTTCAACCATGTTATTGTTATTTATTCCCTGTACATGGGAGAAAGTTAAATGGTGTAGAGATTAGAAATAGGTGGGGAGAATGCTATTATGATTCGAAGTGATGAATTAATGTGAATGTGCTTGGCCCTGGTTGAGCCTGGCCTCGGGCCAGGCTCGCGGAGTAGAATAACTCCCGAAACTCTATCCAGGTATGCTTGGCCTTTTGTTTGATGGTGTAGAAGAATGCA